TCTCAATTTGGGCTTTCCTGATATTTACTCATGAACAGATTCAGATGATGTGTCTTTGTGAAACTATCACGTAAGCAATGCTGTACCTTTCCCGTTGCATCCTATTAGGTATGCAAGATTTCAATTTGTCTAATTACTGATGATAATTTTGATTATTCTGTAAGGTTTTTCCATGGTAGAGTTACTTTTCGCCCCCCTTTGAAATTAATAAGCATTTTATAAAAGGGCATACTTTGAGATGATTTCTTATTTAACTATCAACATATTTATTCATCAAGATAATGGTTTTCTATATTATTCAATGGGATTATTGCATAGCCCACAGATTATTATCTGTTACTATTATTATTTATTGTAATGCTCAATTTTCCCAAATAGAGCCAGTGGGTATCCCTTCAAGCTGGATTCTGTGTCTTTTTTGACATGTCCTTATTATTCCTTGAGTACTTCCTTGCTTTCTGGCAAAATAAAATGGTCCAAGATTAATTTTACACTTTTCTTGTCTCAGCCCTGAAATCAGCCGCTTCTCCAAAAAGCCTAGGTTTGTTTTTGTAAATAATAGGATTTAAAGGCCAAGATTAAGTGATATCACCAAGATGGCAACATAGGTTGCTCCTGATTTTGCTCCTCCTCACAAGGACAACTAGTAACTATTTAAGAACAAGACACCGCTGAGAATCCTAGAACATAGGGGTAGTGCTAAAGTACCACACCCCCCCCACCCATGCACCACAGAGACCAAGAGAGATCACATTAGAAGGGTAAGAGTAGCAGCTACATATGGATTGAATTGCCTCTTCCCCAGACCAGTGCAGCACTCTGCAGAAAGTCTTTCCTTAGCTTCTGGTTCCTTTGGTAGGAAAAGAGAGCCTGGAGACAATCAGCCCCACAGCTCCCTACCCCCAAGCATTGTGAGTTGCTTTGCAGGAGCCCCGCCTCTGACTTCACACCATAGGGATTACAGGGGAATCTGTGGAGCCAAGAGAGAATAGGATGACATATTCAAATATTGAAAGAGAATAGCTGTCAACCAAGAATTCTATACCCAGTGAAGCTGTCCTTCAGAAACAAAAGAGGGATAAAGACTTTCCCAACCAAAAAAAGCTAAGGGAGTTTATTACCACCAGACCTGTCTTAGAAGAAATGCTGAAGGGAGTTCTTTGAGTGGAAGGAAAAGAATGCTATAATTAACATCATAAAATCATAAAAAGGTAGTTTAAATCTCACTGGTAATGGTAAATATATAGTCATAGTTAGATTCTGCAATAGGGTAATAGTGGTGCATAATTCACTTAAGACTCTAGTTTAGAAGTTAAAAAAAAAAAAGAAAAATAAATAACCACAGTAGTAAAAATAACCATAACTACAACAATCTGTTACACAATAAAACGAACAAACAAACAAACAAAAAACAAAAAAACACATGTAAATTGTAACAGAAGTAACCTAAAATGTGAGGGGGAGGATAAGTAAAAGTATAAAGTTTATGAATTCTTTTGAAGTTCAGTTGAAATAGGGTGTTATCAGTTTACAATATTTTCTGTAAGCCTCATGATAACCACAAAGGAAAATCCTATGGTAATTACACATCCCAAACCCACAATTAACAAATCAAAACACACCAATACCAAAAGACATCAAAACACAAAAAAAGATGACAGGACAAGAAACAAGGAACAATGTATCTACAAAACAACCAGAAAACAATAAAATGGCAATAGTAAGTCCTTAACCATCAATAATGACTTTAAACATAAACTGATTAAATTCTCCAATCTAAAGACACAGAGTGGCTGAATGTATTAAAAAAAAAAAACAATATCCCCAATATGCTTACTACTAGAGACTCACATTAGCCTTAAAGACACACATAAACTGAGAGTGAAGGGATGGTAACAATAACTAATCAGGGGTAGCTATATTTATGTCAGACAAAATAGACTTTAAACTAAAAATGGTAAAAAGACAAAGAAGGTGATTATATAATGATAAAGGGGTCAATATATCAAAAAGACATAACAATTATAAACATTTATGCACCCAACATTGGAGCACTTAAATACATAAAGCAAAAAACTAACAGAACTATAAGGAGAAATATGCAGTAATAAAACAATCATTAGAGATTTTAATACCTTACTTTCAATAATGGATAGATCACCCAGACAGAGAATCAATAAAGAAACAGCAGATTTGAATAACACTATGGGCCAAATGGACCTAACAGACATATACAGGACATTCTATCCAACAGCAGCAGAATACACATTCTTCTCAATGGCATATGGAACATTTTCTAGGATATACCATATGTTAGGCCATAAAACAAGTCTTTGCAAATTCAAGAAGATTGAAATCATACCAAATATCTTCTCTGACTACAATGGCATGAAACTAGAAATCAACAAGAAGAAAACTGGAAATTCATAAACGTGGAAATTAAACAACATTCTACTGACAACCAATGGATCAAAGATGTAATGAAAGGGGGAAATAAAAAGAAAAGACTGAAACAAACAAAAATGGAAACAACATACTGGAATTAGTGTGATGCAGCAAAAGCAGTTCTAAAAGGGAAGTTTACAGCAATAAACATAGTAAGAAACAAAAAATATCTCAAACATCCTGACTCTACTCCCCAAGGAACTAGAAAAAGAACAACAAACTGAACCCAAAGTTAGCAGAAGAAAGGAAATAATAAAGATTAGAGCAGACATAAATGAAATACAGAAGAGAAAACAATTGAAAAGATTTAACCAAACTAGGAGTTAGTTCTTTGAAAAGATAAACAAAATTTAGCTAGACTAACCAAGGAAAAAAGAGAAAGGGCTCAAATCAACAAAATTATAAATGAAAAAGGAGACATTACAAATGATAACACAGAAATTCAAATGATCATAAGAGGCTAACATACTGGACATCTGAGAAAAAGTGGAAAAATTCTTAGAAACATACAACATACCAATACTGACTCAGGAAGAAAGAGAAAATTTAAATAGACCAATTACTAGTAAGGAGATTGAATCAGTGATCCAAAATCTCCCAGTGAAGACAAGCCCTGGACCAGATGGCATCACTAGTGAATTTTACCAAACATCAAAGAAGGGTTAATACCAATTTTTCTCTAACTCTTCCAAAAAAATCAAAGAGGAGGGAACACTCCCAAACTCATTTTCTGAGGCCAGCACTATCTTGATACCAAACCAGAAAAGAACACTACTAGAAAAGAAAACTGTAGGCCAATATCCTGATGAATATAAATGCAAAAATTCTCAATAAAATACTAGCAAGCTGCACTTAGCATCACATGCAAAGGATCATTCACCATGATCAAGTAGAATTTATCCCTGGGATGCAAGGATGGTTGAACATATGCAAATCAATCAATGTGATACATCACATTAATAGAAGGAAAGAAAAGAATCATATGATCATTTTAATAGATGCAGAAAGCATTTGACAAACTGAACATTCATTCATGATAAACACGCCTAACAAATTAGGCATAGAAGGAACATATATCAAATTAGGCATAGAAGGAACATATATCAAATTAGGCATAGAAGGAACATATATCAATATAATAAAGGCCATATATGACAAACTCACAGTTAACATACTCAATGGTAAAAGGTTGAAAGCTTTTCCTCTAAGATCAGGAATAAGACAAATGTGTCTACTCTCGCCATTGCTACTCAACATACTACTAGAAGTTTTAGCTAGAGCAATCAGGCAAGAAAAAGAAATAAAAGGTATCAGAGTTGGAAAGGAAAAAGTAAAACTGTCTCTCTTTGCAGATGACATGATTTTATATATAGAAAATCCTAAAGAGGAGTGCCTGGGTGACTCAGTCGGTTAAGCGTCTGCCTTTGGCTCAGGTCATGATCCCAGGGTCCTGGGATTGAGTCCCACATCAGGCTCCTTGCTCCGTGGGAAAGCTACTTCTCCCTCTCCCTGTGCCTGCATCTCCCGCTGCTTGTGCTGTCTCTCCCTCACTCTCTCTCTCAAGTGAATGAATAAAATCTTTAAAAAAGAAAAGTCTAAAGACTCAACCAAAAAAAAAAAAGCTCTAATCAATGAATTCCATTGCAGTATACAAAATAAAGTTCCAGAATATAAAATTAATATACAAAAATCAGTAGTGTTTCTACTACTGTTTAGAAATAAACCCAAAATAAACCCAAGCATATACTGTCAACTGATATTTGACAAGGCCAAGAATACTCAAAGGACAAAAGACAGTCTCTTCAGTAAATGGTGCTAAGATAATTGGATATTCATTCTTCTTTCTTTGAATTACCTGTCTTTAACCTCTCTATTCATTTGTCTTTTTTCCTCTCACCTTATTCACCTTTATACCTATGAGGAAAGACAACAAACAATAATAAAGAAGGGAGCACTTGAAAGTTCATTCTTTCCTCGGTTGATTTATGCATACAACAAATTAGTGCCCACTACAGGCCATCAGACATGCTGCAGGATCTGAGGATGCAGCAGTGGACAAAAGTGACAAAAAGACCTGCCCTCAAGGACCTTATATTCCAGTGCAGGTGACCAACAATAAACAGGATGAATAAGTTTCCTTACTATGTTAGTTTCTCCTTATGTTTACACCATTGAACCTTAGTAGTTCAATGGAAACTGAAACCACAGTCATACAATACAGACTGTCCCTAAGACTCATCTTGCAGATACAGCCCTTGCTACTCTTCTGGATTTTTCTGAGGTCAACTGCTCTCTTGTGGACAAACAGTCCAACATAATCTCAAAGTAAAATGTTAAACTAGAAGAGGTTACATTTTTTTTTTCTATTTGCTGAATAAAGATACAGTGTTTGTTCAAGAAATGACACATGCTTTCTCCTTTAAGAAAAGTAACCATGATTTAAAATGATAAATTTCACATTACCATTTAGGATTAACAATTTTTGTGTTTGAAAGCTATGAATCTGAGAATCTTTCATAGCTACATTGCAATACTCCATTAAAATTAGGCAAAGATTCAGTTATCTCATGCTAATTGCATATTGATATATTTATTTCATATATGTATACATGTGTATATAAATAAAAAATAGTGTTGTCTCATGGTATGAATAAATCCAGTCAGTGAATAACATTTACACACAATGCAAAGTCGTACTTATTGAGACTGAACTGTTAAATATTCTAAAAAGAAAACATTTTTTTAAAAAAGAGGACACATAAGATAGCTGGTGAGGAATGTCTAAAATTACAATATATGTTCTTACATTTGCATCAGGAAATCTACACTGACAGAAAATGTAGCTGAGTATATTTTTACATAATCACATCATCTATCAACCTAACAAATTTATAATGGTATTATTCTCATGCAGCTAAATAACTGCAACTTTGAGTATCAGCCAGTCTCTTGTGATCAGTACTAATATCTGTACTATGCTTTTAAATCCAGTTGTAATGGAATTTCAAACTGCCTCAGCATCAGAAATTGCGGCCCTTTCCACTACACAAACTATGCTGCGGGTTTGCTTAGAAACTCTTTGTTGAAGAATCGTCTTGCTTCAACATTACTAAGGGAAACAGAGCAGCGAGATGGATTCTGTCTTCTGTATTCAATGCTCTCAACTATGGCATTCTTTATCACCTGCAAATAGAGGGAAAAGATGTATAATTAGTATTGCTCTAAACTCATGTAAACATTCGTTTGGTCAAAACAAAAATCTAGTTGATCTTTTTATTATAGTTTTCTTTTTGAAATAGAGAAACCTCGGAGTCATGCATGTGTATATTTAAATCCAACATCCCACCATTATACTCTTGTTAAGCTCATGTCCAGAGCTTAATTTATCTTTATTCTGGTTTTCAATGGGGAGGTGATAAGAGGGAAGAAATAAGTAACTACTAAGTGGACAAGCAGGAAAGAGGGACCACAACGGAGTAGCAGACTTTCTTTAAGCCTAATGAAAAAAGAAGGCATTGCCGAAGAATTGCCCCGCTTTCTCAGCTAAACAAATACAGTTATAAAACATGGATGTCCTCTATCTAGAAAATACCATACTTTGTGATTTTATTGATGATGACTTTTTTATTCAGAATAATTTTCATATATATTCAAATTAATGGTGACTACAACTTCTAAGATTGCTATTCCAATTATATTTTCTTCTGGTATGAAGTTAACCTAGTTAAGAACTTCTGGAAAGAAGACAAGATTTGGAATTTGGTTAAAGCAGTTGTTGCAGGGCAATGGGAATGGGCTTTGGAAGAGAGGCCTGTATATTAATCTTTTCTCCGTTGCTTATTTGGAACCCTTTCAAAATCAGAAAGACTCCACTCCCTAGGACAGGACTATAGGATTTCATCTTAACCAATGAGCTACAAGTTTGAGGGCACAGAAGAAAATCACAGGGACTATTTTACAATTCCCTTCATTCTCTACCCCAGGGATTGTTAAACAACATTAAGGTATTATGTGCATGTGTTTCAGCCCTCTGCCCTACCTGGCAAGTCCGAGCAGCTTAGGACCCAAGGCCCCCTCCCACTCAGAGCTAGAGTGGCCCACTTGGCCTTGGAGATATGTAGAGGGGTTTTCCCCTGTCCACATCCAGTGTCACTGGGCAAGCCAGGTTCAATGCCTAGAGGAGAGAGATACGTGACCTGGGGGGTGCTAACAAGCAACTAATATTCTGTGACTTTATGTTGGACCTGAGGGGCAGACCCATCTAATTCTCTAACAGTAACTTTAAACAACAAACAGTTGTATTCTGGAAAGAGGGATTTATCACAGAAATGTGACATCTTTATTTGCTTTACGATTTTTAAGTTATATATAGAGAATATGTATAATAAAACATAGTATCATACCTGTATGTATATATATTGTCTTATGGGCTCAAACATTACTGAGTCTTTTAAGAAAAGCAGGTATTTGCTGAGCCCATTTTTCCCAGGAGTAAGGGAAACATAATTAATTCTATGGTGACAGAAGAGGCTTCAGGCCTATGAAGGAGACCCTGACCCAGGACCTCTAGGCACAATCACTTCTTGGCTGTGTGAGATCAAGGAGAATCCTTGAACCTGTTTCGTCTTCTTTAAAGTGGGAATAATAATACTAATCTTGGTTTTTGTGGGGATTTATATAAAGTATTTTGTACAATACCCAGCACCTCGGAAACGTTCCATAACTAGCATCTATTTATTGTTGTTATTTTTAAACTGACCATATGTGTGAAAATGCAGGAGCTTTAATTTGGATACGAGGCTATCAAGTTTAATAGAAATAAACACACAATGTATATCCAATTATGGGCTTATTATATGGTAAAAGTCAGCAAATCAATTCTGCTATCAAATGTGTCCTACTACATCTTTTTCTTTTTTTTTTTTTAAGATTTTATTTATTTATTTGAGAGAGAGAGCAAGCAAGCAAGTGAGCAGGGCTCAATCCCAGGACCCTGGGATCATGACCTGAGCCAAAGGTAGAAGCTTAACCAACTGAGCCACCCAGGTGCACCCTACTACATATTCTTTTAATAATCTCCCTGCTTTTGGGGGGCCTGGGTGGCTCAGTCCTTAGGCGTCTGCCTTCGGCTCAGGTCACGATCCCAGGGTCCTGGGATCGAGTCCCGCATCAGGCTCCCTGCTCCGTGAGAAGCCTGCTTCTCCCTCTCCCACTCCCCCTGCTTGTGTTCCCTCTCTCACTGTCTCTCCCTCTGTCAAATAAATAAAAATCTTAAAAAAAAAAAAATCTCCCTGCTTTCTAGATAGTATGACAGCAAGTTTTCAGTTGGTGTCTCCTTCACCATACTAGCACAAGACACAGGACCCCTCACTGCAGAGAAATACCCAAGTCAAATAAAAATCAACTCTTTATTTTCCAAATACCTTAAAAGCTTTAAAAAAAAAAAACAACACAGGGAAATTATATTAATAATGACTGCTGTCAATTTCTTTATAATGAATTCATAAGCACAAAAAAATCAGCAATATCAATACCATGAACTAGCGGATTTCTCATAAGTGGGCCTTGGCGGTGTTTCTAGTAAACAGGCCATTCTTATGAAGGAAAAGGAATATTTACATTTATTAACTCTGAAAAACCCAAATCATATGCAATTAGAATGTGCAAGTTGAACCACTAGGTGGCATATTAACACTATGAAACCATTGCCCCGATTTTTCAGATTGCTGCAGAACACAGCCATTGGTTGTGATTTATAATTCTATGATATAAACAGAGGAGGCGAAACTCAATCCTACATCAGTGCTACATCCAAACCTCCTGTCATGACACATGGTACAGTTCCATGTCCAAAGAAGAAATATGCCATCTTTGAATCTTCCTAGTTTTTAAATGATATTAGGTGTAATCTTCATCAGCGTTTATATCTAATTTCCTCTTTCATCCCCCCTGAAATTCATTGAGATTCTAAATCTTTCCCTTCTGTGGTATCCTACAACAGCCCTCCTCTCTCAAACCTCTCCACACCCCTGCCCCTCCCTAAGTATGACTGACCCACATCATCCTTCACGGGTGCTCTTCAATAGCCTCCTAATTGTTGATCCAGACTCTTTAAATCTACAGCAAGAAAGGCAGAGAATAGGGTGCCTGGGTGGCTCAGTCGTTAAGGGTTAAGCGTCTGCCTTCGGCTCAGGTCATGATCCCAGGGTCCTGGGATCGAGTCCCGCATCGGGCTCCCTGCTCGGTGGGAAGCCTGCTTCTCCCTCTCCCACTCCCCTTGCTTGTGTTTCCTCTCTCGCTGTGTCTCTTTCTGTCAAATAAATAAAAATCTTAAAAAAAAAAAGAAAGAAAGGCAGAGAATAAGAAAAGGAAACACATAAAATGTGAACTTCTCCCAAGTAACCCACAAGCAAATACTGAATTCCCGCAATAGAAAATTAAAAATGACCCCAACGAGGAAGTTACTGTATATTTTGAAAGAGAAATAAAAATTACAGATATAGAAGAATATAAGAAGATATTCTGGTCTTAAAATTGCTACGAATCTGCCAGCAAATGCCTGCCTTTCCAATAAAAACTGAAGTGTCACGAAAGCAGGGGCCTTATTAGTCTTGTCAGTTTTGATCGCAGCACTTAGAACAGAGAAGGGGAACAATAATATTTGTAAAAGTAATGAATGCACAGAAGGTTGAGTTCAACTAAGTGTAACTCATGGAGACAATGAGATGCATGGAAGGACAGGCAGACTCTGTAAGTGCAGTGGATGGACAGGGCATTCTCAAAGAAAGACGATCCTGTAAAAAGGCTGAAGGTGGGAGATCATGGCATGTGTAGGAAGCATCTGGGAACTGGCCTGGCTGGAATGAAGATTGTGTTTGGGAAATAGTAGGAAATAAGGCTGCTTGAGAAACAGATGGTTCAAAAGTGGGAAAGAGTAAGGAAGAAACATGCGACCCCATCTTGGCTCCCCACATGACTGTGTGACCTCTAGCAATCTGCCTCCATTACCCTTGACTCAGTTTCTTCACATGTAAATAAAGATACCTACCTCAGAGGCTAGTTCTGTGTGTTAAATAGTTGAGGGGAAAATATCTAGCTTATGTTAAACATTCAAAACTTTTTTCGTTTTCTTTTGTACATGGTTGTATCCTTAGTTACTAAAACAGTGACTGACACAGTAGATACTCAATAAATATGTGTTGAATTAATGAATAAAAGATGGAAGGAGATTATAGGCAGCATTAAAGGTAGATGAATTTGGGCCTTACATATTAGGCCATGATATATAATAAGCTTCTAAATTACTTTTAAAAGATAAAAAATTTAACTCTACCTAAATGCTACTATGATGATGAAATAGCAATAAATTAAGAATTAAGTACCAGTACTTCTGGATATATACTTTCCCTCATTTAATTAATTATTTTTTAGAGGGAAAGAGAGCACAAGCAGGGGTGGGGGAAGGGTAGAGGGGGAGGAAGAGAGAGAATCTTAAGCAGGCTTCACACCCAGCGTGGAGCCCATTTGGGGCTCCATCTTACTACCCTGAGATCACAACGTGAGCTGAAACAAGAGTCGGATGCTTAACCAACTGAAGCACCCCGGGGCCCCACTTTTCTTCATTTTAATTAGCATCGAGTATTTAACACTGTATAGAACCGTTTGAGAATTTTAGAAGCTCATTATTATGCACCACTGGCATATATTGAGTAAATTGACACATAACCTGTTCTTAGAATATGTCTACTAATTTAATAAATTGAATGAGTGAGACTGCGTAACAGTACATTTTCCTGTGAACACTGAATCAACAAGGTCCTGGGAAAGGAACTCTCAGAGCCACATTCTCTCCAGATTAAACTGGTGATTTATGAGGAGAGCATGTAGCCACACTCCATGCCCATTCTACGTGGTCAGAAATTCTGCCTCCAACCAACAGACCTGCATCCTGACACTTGCTATCCCTTCTTCCTATCACATCAAACTCTTCAACAATTTCAGCCAATAAGTCAATAGCATTTTAAAAATCATTCACTAAAATTTTATTACATATTTATTTTACGTCCCAGGCATTGTGATGAATGTCTCTGGAGGATACAAAAGGTAAATAAGGCAAGTTATTGTTTTTAAAGGGTTTAAAATTTATAAGTAAAAGCAGAAGACAATATGAACACTGATCATAATTATTATTATCATATTAGTTGCTTCAATTTATTAAGTGTCTCTTATAAGCCAAGCCCTTAAATTATATTATTTTACTTAATCAACACCCTGGTCCTACAAGATATGCATCACTGTTTCCCCTTACAAACCAGGAAAGGAAAATTTGGAAGTTAGGCAACGTGTCCAAGGTCACTCATTCAAGAGGGTTTAAACATTCAATTTGGTCTGACTCCAAAGCTTCTGCGTTTCCCGCATACCACATGTCTACTGGTGTAAGTCACTCTATGTTTCTATGTTAAGTTTCTTAAAAAAAAAAAAAAACACCAGCAACTCCCCTCCACCCCCCCCTTAAATACCACCAATGTAAAATGACTGAGGCAATGTTCAGTGAGAAGGAATTTGGGAGGACTGAGTAAGTGCCGAAACCTGATGCTAATGAGAAACCCAGGCCGCTGTCATGACGGGAGCAGAAACAGAGCAAAAGTTCTCTAAAGATGAATGAGAATTTAGGTTCAGCCAAGCAGGCCAGCTAGGATCTCTGGAGAAAATAAACCAACAGAAGCATACAGCTGTCGGAGACAGGGTGGCCTTTTCAGAATAAAAAGTTAAGCCAGAATGTTAATTGAAGATGAAAATAAGCCTTCAGCCACGGCAGTCGTGGCCACAAACGTGAAAACCACCTTCTCTGGAGCTGGCAGTCAGGGGTCTGCATTAGACGAGTTTATATTCCCAGGGTCCACAATCTGCAAGCAGCTCTGACAGCCTGTGGCAAGTAATGATGTGCTGCATTGCTGAAGTGTGAATTAGTAAGCTACTCTATTCAAATGGTGTGGGAATGAGTGATTTAGCTAATGACTGAGCCTAATGAGCTCTCCAGCATTCTACCCTGGCAGTTTTGTTGGTCTTCATTTATCATCGCTTATCAAGAAGCTTTGATTCTGATAAAATACATTTTCTTGGTTAAAAGTGAGGGGTCAGGACGGTAATCAAAAAAGAGACAAAATGTCAGTGAACACTGGAATTCCTACCTCGGTATGAAATGTACACACATACAGACAGACAGACAGACACACACACACACGAATCACTTGAACACAAGTCTCAATGGTCATATAATTTAAGAGAAAGCTTACATTCATTCATGCCACCTCCAACCCCCAAAATTTACTGCCTAGGCTGCTATTACCTGTATAGACTTGTCTATATTATTAATTCTGGGCACTTGCAAAGGTCTTGGGGTTTATCTGTCCTGGTATAGGATATAGACACACATAAGTAAGCTTCCCACTTATCGAGCAGCTTCTGACTGTTCATACGTCCCCTGATGATTCACTATTGCTACTATGATAGGTGCTGTTATATCCATTTTAGAGATGAGGCAACTGAGGCCCAAAAAGTTTAAGTAGCTTATTCAAAGTCACACAGGTGGCCCATCTGAGATCTAAATGAGATATAAAGCCCACGACCTTGCTTCTACGCACTATGCCAGAGAAGTTTTTGGAAGCAATTAAATCCTGCTTTATTAATTAATGTTTGATGAGCGGTTTGTCAGGAAAGTTATTCTGAAATTCAGTCTGTTTTTGCTTAGGCTTTTACTTTTTCATCTATGTGTCAAACTACTTTGAAGAATATATAAATAAAACTATATCATTCTTTATAGCAAACAGCTTAGCAGGTTTTATATAAACCAGAACTGAAAAACAATGAGAAAAATGTAGTTGTTTAAGTTACAGATACAGATATCTATCCACTCACACTCATCTACAATATATACAGATATGTACATACACAGATATAAATATATATATGTGTGTATGTGTATCCTTTTATTTTTCCAAGTCCAAGAGGGTATTTATATATTCCTACAGTCTATTTTTTTTTTTCCATTTGAGGACAACTGATCAAGTTTAATACATTTCATCCTAAGGAATACATTGTTTTGAGTTTGTTAGTTTCACACTAGAAATAGGATTCTTCTGCTATTACCCCTTGGTTCTCTTTTGACAGCATGGGGTTTTATTAAACACAACTCTATCTTGAGAATGTCTATTTAAATCATGGCTTAAAATACTGATTTTCTCTTAATGACTACTGATTGTAAGATAAAAGAAAAAAGAAAAAATATATTTAGAAAACTAATCCCATATACACAGAACCCTCATCCATATACTGTGCTTTCTTTTGCACCATTTGCAAGGTATCCAAAAAGATTGGCAAATCAGATACAACACTTTCCCTCCCCAATTAATTTCTTTCTTTTTCTTTTACTCTTTTCTTTTTAATGTGCAAAATCCAGCTAGGATAATGAACTTGGGCTTTCACAATGGATAATAATTTGTTAGACACTGTGATTTGGAACTACAAGCCAACATGATTCCAGTTCTACAACAGTGTTCTTAAATGGTGAGTTAGAGATTACAGAATTTCACATGGTCACGGAATCTTAGCAGCAGATATACGGGGGTTAGGGATGACCTAAGTGAAGAGAATGACTTGTTTCTGAAGTTCCTAACACAAAGCGTACTTGATATCTCATGAGCTAAAAATGGGAAGGCTGCTACTTTTGGCAACATTCCCAAGATCTACAAAAATAAGGGCATTTAAAAGCATGAGTGTATCTATGAAAATTCGTGATATTTTAGCAGATAACTACACTTCTGGTTACATTCACTTTCCTACCCTTATATTTCCTTCTTACCACTTTTCTTCCTCCTCATAATTTATTTTTATCAGATGACGAATACATTAGATACTTTGGGAAAGAAGCTGAGTATTAACCAATCCTTCAATCAAATTATCATATAAAATATGGGCTCTGCCAATTTAGAGCGATTACTTTTTATTTGTGATTTTTATAGGGTTCTTCTGGAGAGTAATAAAATAACATACAAAAAATAAAATGGTACAATTTGGATGGTATCATTCATAAACCTTATTTTTATTTTTAATGAATTAAAAAGGTATTGCTATGTTCATGTGATATGGAAGTATGTGACATTGTCAAGGATCACAGGAGATACTTACATCAATGTTGTTCAGGGTATTGAAGTGCATGAGATCATGCAGCCTTTTGAATGCTTGATTTGGATATTGAAAGTTGAAGGTCGAAAATGGTGATTCGGGGTCATCAAAAATATCAAAATCAGCTATCTCTTTCTCTTCTTTAGTTTCTCTCGGAACACCTAAATATTAGAAGAGTCTCAAATGGTGTGATTTTGAAAACAGCAAAATATCTCTAAAACCCAAGAAAGAAAACATACAGATAGCTGTAAACATAACATAGGGAGCCCCCACTGGGGTCATGGGATCTGTAGTATGCACTGTTATGCTCCCACCCATATTCCCTGGGTTGAGATATCCAGGTGTTCTGCCTGGGAAACTTCCAATTGCCCGCATCTTCATCTTTCTACCCCATCCTGCAACAGGCTGTTTTGCTCTCTAGCAGCAGGATGTAAATTCTGGTAAATAACACTCTGCCCCAGGCAGCAGTCAACCAAAGACTCTAGGAAGTTAGGATATAAATACCCCAGTTCCCTTGACTCTTGTGGTATGAATGGGAAGTATGATTCTGGAGCATAGGTTCTATTCCATTTCCTAGGCTTTCCCAAAAGGATCAAATCTTCCTCATGGTAGTTGGCTTACTAACACATCTTTTGTTGTCTACCTTCCTTTATCACTTCCCTACATCCTTAGTAAAATTCCCTAGTCCACCCAAATAAACGGTCTGCACTTGAATTCCTTTCCTGGAATCTGCTTCTGGGGAATCCAAACCAAAACATTATCTAACTGTGTTCATGCCACAGAAATGGGTTTCAAGTACTCTACTGTTCAATAACTAAAAATGCCCACCAATTCTTCCTTCTCTTGTTTTGAAGAATGACTCGTAATAACCTCCCTTCCTGATCCTTTCTCTGTCTTTCTCCACCATCTGGAAGATCACTTTCTTCTCCATCATCCCATGTCAAATCTGCCATGACTATCTTTTATATCTTTTCCTCTCATAACTGCACTTTCTGGTCCAAGGATAATATTTTTAGGCCTTAAGTATTCTGCCTGTCAATCTCTAGATCTCCTTTTGTTAATCAATATTTTCCAGGATATAGAAGAATCTACAGACTCTGGATGTAGTAAAACAGGACAACTGTGCCTTGAACTTGATTCTCTTTTTCTATAAAACATAACGAAGCAACCTGAAATTATTATTTATGTTGTACTGCCAGATTATATTAATCCTGGGTCACTTAACATTCCCAGAGTTTTTGTATGATTTGTTCTGAAACAAGGGCTCCCTTGCAAGGGTAATTTTCAAAATATTTAATAATCCCTATGGCAAGGGTGCCAATCAATCAGAACAAACATAAGCCCAGGTTTTGGAATAAAGCCCCAGAGATTTTTATTGAGCCAGTTGTTGATGTATCAGTTTCTGAATTATGAAGAACTCAGGGAATCTTGGAGTGAGAAAGAGGGCAGTACTTGAGGTCTCAGGATAGTAGTTATTTATTAAGGTAAGGGGAGCATTCAAAATTGTAGTAGCTAGTACAGCAAGTGCTGTTATAAACCCACTTAATATCAGTCTTTTACCGGATTTCTACTTTATAGAACATAATTTATTCCCCATGTACCTGGAGACTTGTACTTTCTGAAGTTGATGTTGGCCAGAACAAAGTGGATGATAGTTGGGCAGTCTTTCTCCATATCAGGATTCTTGGGTTTAAAGACATAGCACTCCTTCAGTCCTTCTCGATCAAACACTTGAGGATCAATCTTTGGAAAGGGGAGCTTGTTCATTTTGGCCCACTTTTCTGCAAGTAGAAGTTCCTATGGAGGAGAGGTAAAGATGCATTTGGGAGTTTTCAGTTTTTATTTATTAAGTTGGTCTGGCCATCATTCAGTGTTCATCAAGTGTTAACTGTGTGCTAGCAATGTGCTCCTTGCTAAGATGAATAATGACCCTGTTCTCCAGAAGCTCATTAATTAAAAAAAAATTACAAAAGCACTCTATAAGTACACTTGTTAATTTCTGGCATAGGGCTAGCTCCATAGGAGGCATGTGAAAATTTACTGATGAACTGAACTGAATGAAATTATAGTGATGTAATTGTTATGGGAAAAAAAAAAAACCATTAGGGCTCTGGTTATTTATAAGCCCTGTGAACATTTTTTAACCCTTCAGAGTCAAAGAATGATGAAGCAAAATGAGGAACACTCTGGTACTGAATTTTTACTTGTACCTTCTCAACACAACCAATTAAAATTAGTAAATTTTATGTATACAAACATATTTGAGTTACTCTGAATCAGCTTTTCTTTTGCATCTGTTTATAAAAAGAATTTAACTTCTGGACTCAGAATGTTATATGTGTAATGGCCAAGAATGGGCCAGACAGGGAAACCAAGAGTTTAGCTAATGGGCATGGCAGATTGTGTGATGGTTTCCACATATTAGCTCCCTTCCCAGTAAGAGAATTATACATCCCCACCAGAATGAGAGGACACCTAAACACAACGACAGCAGTTGATTTGTAGCTGCTGACATGAAACGTGACCAAGAAAAACATGTTTGTTGTTGGCCACTGAGATTTTAGGTTTGTTTCTGCATCAAGGCTGACTAATGCAGTGGGTAAGCACACACACACACAGTATTAGGTTGAAACAAGAAAGCATAAATCAATATGGAGAGATGCCATAAATACAGCTTATTTATGTTTATATACAGCTTAAGGGGTAGTGAGAAAAATAAGAAGCAGACTCTCAGTGGTAAAAGGGCAGACTCCGGGGCCTGATTGCCTGAGTTCAAATGCAAGCTGTGGGACCACGGGCACGTTTCCTAATGTCTCCACACTCAATAGCCTCAAATATAAAATGAGTATGATAATAATAATATGTATCTTATGATTGCAGTAGAATAAAATAATGTCTGTACAGTATTCAGAGTGGTCCTGGACACCCATCAATTGCTATACAGAAGTTTGATAAATAAATGTCAATAAAGAGAGGAAGAGAGGGCGCCTGGGTGGCTCAGTTGGTTAAGCGACTGCCTTCGGCTCAGGTCATGATCCTGGAGTCCCTGGATCGAGTCCCGCATGGGGCTCCCTGCTTGGCGGGGAGTCTGCTTCTCCCTCTGACCCTCCCCCCTCTCATGTGCTTTCTCTCTCTCATTCTCTCTCTCTCAAATAAATA